AAAACATTTGGCTTTAATTCATGAACTAAAGTAGTATAACCATCAAGCGAAGTATTACTACTTATTTTATCATAGTGACAATTTATACTTAGATTAATGAATGGCTGACATAAAGATCCGAGTTATTTTCTTGTCTTGTTATCAATATAAGTTTCCTTGTCTAGTAAAGTCTGTGCTCACCTTTCAACTATAGTGCTCCTTTAAAGGAAGGTACAATAGTTGTGACCATCATTTGATTTCAACATTTACACACATAACATATTATTCGCTGAACTTCTAGTTTACGAGAAATACCGATAAGATTTCATCACTGCAAACATTTAACAACATTTCGTTTATTCCAACAATAAAAGCTTTTATTTTAGCCATCAGGAAAACTCCAAACTCAAAAGGAATGCCTCAAATCCTTGTCTTTACTCTGATGCTGAACTGTTAGTATTATTATTATCATCACTAATAAGTTGATTCTATAAACTGTTGTATGTACATTATGCTTTATAACCCCATAAATTTTTTCTCACTCACTTCAGTGTCATATTGAATTAGTGAAACAAAAAAAATTCAATGGTTGAGATCATGAGTCCGTTGAAACTAGACCACTATGGAAAACCTGGAATTTATTTTACATTAATTCATATTCTTTGTTGATTATCAAACACTATCAGTTTATTACATTTACTAGAAACTATACAATATTGTTTTTGTTATTACTTAGCACAATGATCTATTTTTTTATGATATTATCATGTTTAGTTGATATTCATATTCTTATCCACCCCCCACCCTTCAGGAATGTCTTAAAATTTCGCAATTATATATATATATATATATATATATATATATATATATATATATATATATATATATATATATATATATATAGTAAAATGTTTTTCTTTCGCTTAGTTTCGTGCCGTTTTTTAAATGTTCAGATGAGGATTAGAACATTAGAGAAAATAGTAATTGTCCATCTTTTTAATTACATAAATAAGTAGTTTGTTAACTATGTTCATTTATTAAATGACTGGTTAATAATAGCCGTATTAAGAGTATTAATAATAATTGTATAGTAAATGATAATTAGTGTAATTATCGTGACAATTCAACATTATATCATCAGCTGACACAATAATAATATTAATAATAACTAGCTTATGAAGTAATCAGCTATTTATTTATTTATCTATCTATCTATCTATCTATCTATCTATCTATCTATCTATCTATCTAGAATTAGTGAAAATTTCTATTCCTTCTCATAAAAGCAATTTATGTAAGATCAGAATAAATGCAATATGAAATGTTTTTACATCATAATAACTTGTAAATTCACTTGATATTTTTTGCTTGTATCTTCCGATTGATGTTTAAGACTGCAATTGATCAATCTTTTATTGGCATATATGTATCTTGTGCAAATTGACTCAATATTGTATTAAGTTACAAGCTTTATAAGCAAAGATGGATAATGGCTAGAAGTGGAATCAAGGATGCATGTTTCATCTTATTTTGAACTCATCAGCTAAATGTATCTGTATCTCAGAGTTGATGTTCAATCTAAAACTTAAACACAGTACCGTTCGCTTCGGAAGTCAACACGCTATTCACTTAGTTACTAAGTGCTAATAACCACCTAATTCTATAATAACAAGTTGTTATTTTTACTAATTTTATTTCCATATTTAACATTTCACTTTTGTTTGATTGATTTCATAGAATATAATTAAAACTTGTGTTTTTTCTCACCTATTTTTTTTCCAAAAATAAACAAATATCATTTCACGTATTTACAATATTCATTCAAAGTTTTAATCTAATTCAATATGACATTTTTACACTTCGTATGATATTTCACTTGATAAGTTTTTAAAATCAGCTATTAAATACTTTGGAATTCATAAAAAAATACTCTTAAATAAAGAGGGAAAAATAAAATTTACCCATTTTCTATTTGGTAATTCTTACGTAATTGTTCATTAAAAGATTCTTTGAAATATCAGAATTATCAGAAGGGGTTTTTGTGGATATTATAGTAATTTTAATAGTTAAGATCATGAGTCAGTTGAAGTAGTTAAGCGCTCGCGCACGAGACTGATAAATCCTAGGTTCGAATTTCACAGGGGTTAGGATCGTGGATGCGCACTACTGAGGAGTCCCACAATAGGACGAATCAACCACTCAGTGCTTTCAGATTTTCCATGGTGGTCTAGTCGCAATTGACTCATGAATTCAACTTTTGAAATATCAAAGTTGATTATGTTGAAAAACATCACAACTAAAAAAAATCAGTTATGTAGCATAAATGTAATATATATATATATATATATATATATATATATATATATGTGTTTCAGAAACCAAAAAGAAATTAAAAAACCTATCTAGCAGAAATATGGTGTGTCCTACTGATGTCGACAGATATGAGTAGTATGTAACATCAATAGAAAGTGAAATGCCTGGCAGTAGGTTAAGAAGATCGAAGCGAAGAGAACGAGAACAAAGAATAATTTGTGTGAAAATGAAAGAATAATGAAGTCTGAGGAGAATTATTGACAGTTTTCAAATGAAGTATTTACTGTGGGATTTTCAAAATTTACTAAGATATTCTGTAATTTTGTATTCAAATACATTTGATTGTTCCCACTTGTGTTCTTGTTCACAACAGAATTATTCTCAAGGATAAACTAATCACTATGGTGAATAACACGTTTATATAGGTAGACACAGTCATACTTTATTCATTATATACACAAACTTGAGTTTGTGTTTCCATTATATCCTAGTGCAGAAACAACCTTATATCTTATCACATTTGAGTCATAATTTTTGTTCATAACAATCAAATGAAATTTTGCAATTTTACATCAAGAATTGAATTGTGGTAGACAATCTTTGAAATAAAATGAGAAATGAACTGTTGTTTCTTCCTACATGGGAAATATCAAATCTTGCTTAAACAGTCTATATTACAGATTTGCTGCTTTATGTACTCTACTGAACTCCACCGGCTAGACTAATTTCATTTATTAACTAATCAAATTCAGTGTTTTGGTACCAACTAAAAATTTCAAAAATATTCACTTACCTTTTATTTTAACACATTAAGTTTATTTTATAATAGTTAACATCACAAGTCAGTTGAAGCTAGACCACCATGGAAAACCTGGAACTACTGGAAGGCTGTTTCGCCCTATTATGGGACTCTTCAGTAGTGCGCATCCACGATTCTACCCCCGTGAGATTCGAACCGAGGACCTATCAGTCTCGCGCGCGAGCGCTTAGCTGCTTCAATTAACTCATGATCTTAACTATTAAAATTACTATAATATCTACAAAAATCCTTTCTGACATTAAGTTTATTGATAATCACATTTATTAAAGCCAACCATTAAACTCACGATCATTGAACAAATTCTACTTACAGAAATGATGGATGGATCGAACAAATGTAGTGAATAGAACGAATTGTTGTACTTAAATTTCAAAGCTAATCAAGTTTACAAAATATTTAATCACCCAGTTGACTAGTGTTCCAACGTGTTGAAATACAAAATAATTGATAATTTTAGTTTATGATCTCTGATCAGTGAAGCATAGACTGCTTGAATGTCTGGGCTACCTGTTCCTGCCATCTGAATATTTCAACAAGTTATCTGTTTTCTTGTTTCTATTAACACATCATTATGCCTATTAGTCTCATAACCTATTCAGATGAGTTTGTGAAAAGTTTACGACATTTCGCTGTGCAAGTTACAAAAGAGCTCAATCAGAGACATCATGGTTACTGGCAATATGCATCGAAAAGGATATACATTTATCAGTTGTCGACTCCTAAACCGCTAACATTGAACTGGCAACCACTCAATATTTATCACTAGAATCGATCAAGAAATAAGAATAGGAAACTTGTTAAAATACTTTGTGCTGAGATTTTTCTATTGTACCAAAAATATAATATTGAATAAAGCAATTAGTAATAATAATAACAATCTAAATAATTCAATTTGTCCTAGCTTGACTGTAGCCTAAACATTCAATTATGTGTGTCTGTTCAACTCTAAAGCCAACAATTTTTGAATCCAACAGTTGTATTCAAAACAGTTTTCATTGTGAATGAATGTAAGTAAAAAAATATTTCTAGGAAGGGTTTTGTGGAGAATTGGTTGAAGTTAGACATTAACACCGTTGGGTGCCGGCTCAGTGGTCTAGTTGGTTAAGCGCCTGGCGCGAGAATGATAGGTCCTGGGTTTGAATCCCGCGGAGTGCGGGATCGTGGATGCGCGCTGCTGAGGAGTCCCATAATAGGACGAAACGGCCGTCCAGTGCTTCCAGGCTTTCCATGGTGTTCTAGCTTCAATTGATTCATGATTTTAACTATTGAAAAAAATATTTGTTGGAAGCATGATCATTTCAATAAAGTTTAATAGTGACTAGTAAGAAAATTCAATACACTTGTTAAATCATATTTAGGACTCGTTAGTCGTACGCATCTGTATCCTAGTTTTTGATAATAACACTGAAGTTTAAACACAGTATCTATCATTTCGAATATCAACCCACTTTTCACTAAGCTATTAAATCCATTGAATAACTAACTTGTACAATTCATATGAAGTTATTCGTAATTGTTTGTATATTTTCATTATTGATATAAAGAACTGCAAGTAATCAACCTCTATTCACATTTAAATTATTTTATGGTAAATTTGATTCATGTCTAACAGAGGTAGTTGGTGGAAACTGATTAATTTCAGTTCATAATATTAGTAACAAGAAAATAGAAACTCTCACAAGTTATAAAAATGTTTAATATAAATGATCTAGAACAATTGGATAGAACTAGAAAGAAAGATTCAGGACAGAATATGTTGAAGAATGTTGGTTGGCGACCTATGCTACATTAGGAGTAACAGTTGTAAGTAAATAAGTAAGTATAAAAAACCTGGAATGTAGTAAAAAAAGATCTACCATTTTGTAACTTAAATCATAGAATACTTCAATCAATTCTTTATACTTACTTCATAAATTGTTGAATTAACTGGAATATTTTCTTTAACTTGTATTTCATAAACTGCTTGTGAAAATGTTGGTTCAATATCATTTATATTAAGTACTTCTATAAAAATTTCTAAACGATCTTCTATATTCATTATATCTAAATGTTGATCACCTATAATATAAGGTGATGAACAAACTAAATAAAATTTATATTCTTTAATATATTCATAATCTAAATCTTTTTGTAAAACAAGTACAAGTCTTGAATCATTTCTAACAACTAAACGAAATGTATCTAATGCATTTGATTTATCATCTGAATGTGAATCAAGACGATATACTATTTCAGAATGATGTGGTTGTATATCTTTATCAATTGCTTTAGGTAATTCTATATATTTACCAATTCGATAAATTACTTCTTTTAATTTTAATTTATATGGTCTTGATACTGTAGATGGAAATTTTGGTTGATTATCATTTAAATCAGTTACTGTTATTTCAATATTAACAATACAAATTAATTGATAATTTATCCATATATTTACATAGATATTTAATTGTGCATGATATGTATTCTCTTTACAATATTTTGGGCATAATGTTTCTAAATCAATAATTTTCTTAGTAACTAATAAACTTGTTGTTTCATTAACATGAAAATAATTTGATGGTTCACGTAAACGATAAAATGAATTCATTTGTTTAGATGTATATAATAAATGATATAAATGTGTTGATCTAATCTCTGGTGTTTGTATTAGATCATCATTAATTTTACCAATTTTAAAATTGATTGGTTGATTTTCTGTTATAGCATAACGTAAATTATATTGTGGTGTTTTTGGATTATTATTAATATCATTATTATTATTATTATTGTTATTAGTAATACTATTCAATGTATTCGATAAATGATTATTAATATTACTTATCAAATTATTAGTAGGTAATAGTGATGGTGAATAAGCATTTATTGAACAATCATAATAGAACATTGAAATTTGTAAATAATATTGGACCATGATAAACCATATTAATGTATTAACAATCCATTTAGTGTTTAAACGTTCCTGTGACATTCTTCTGATCTGATGAAGTGAAAAAAACAACAACAAAAGAGTAAAAATAAAACAAAATAAATACTTGAAAGTTCATAGCATTAGAAATTATAGTAATATTAATCATGATAGCTTTATAATACATTGAATATGAACATATAGTAAAGTGAATATGGTTTAGTTTCACTAATAACATAACTACTCACATTCTCAGTCAGTCAGCCAGATACAACGTAGGATCAGGCATACATATGAATCAGTACAAGTTGCCACAATTCATTAGCACAACAAGATGAACACCGAATGTATAGAAGGAGTTAATTCAATGATGGTAATATATAAAAGAAAGATTGCACATAAGGACATAGTAAAGGAAGAAAAAATTAGTTGGTAGAAAGAAAGATATAAAGCGATTTTAATCTCATGGTTTAATGGAATACAGAGAGTGTATACACCTACTCGATTATGATCGATTCTGAGCCATGTCACATAGAGTCTCCAACCATTGTTTACGATAGTCACATGAATCTCAACCAAGTATTCTTCATGTACCAATATAGCTCAGACTAGAAGTTAGTGATTTCAAGGACTGATGCCACGTTTTGTTTTGGTCATCCCTAACTTTCTTCCAACCGTCTCCAACACTGGTCAACATTACGGGTCGTGTTAATCGGTGATTAGGCATACGTTCACATTCTAAACAAAAATGTTCTGGATTTCAGTGTAAAAACACAATGTGAATGGATTTTGTTTTATGATGTGTTTTTTTCAAATTTTTTTTTCAAATATTTCATTGAATTGAAGATAAAAAGCAATAACAGATTAAAAAGACTTAATTTCTAACTAAGAAATTGATTATGACATTTCTGACATTCATTAATTTAATGTTTACCCTTTTTTTGCGAAACAAAATGAAAGATCTCTGTGTAAACCGATGATTATTGTGTTAAATATTAAAAAGAACTAAGCGTTTTAAAAATTTCTTTTCCAAATTTCATTGTCTGATCAGTATCAATGCTTTGATGGTGTTATCCTATTCTCTAAAATGTATGATGAATATCATTCATAAATGATAATGAAATTATTTCAGTTTGAATTATCCAGTTTAGGAAATTATTTATTTGCTTATTTAAACACATAAAAATTTAGTACAAGGAAGCACCAACTATATACTATCTGAGTGCCAAAACTGTAGAAAGTTGTTTTCTTAGAAGGCCACAACCCGAGCCTTTGATCTAAACGTCTAATCCACAAGGCAGTGGAGCAGCTTCAGCAGATGTAGTCCCATGGCAGCTGGTGACCAACAATTGGTTCATACGCCATTTGTTCACTTAGGATCCTGGAGACCATGTGCACCATTGCTTTGGAATCAGAGTTTTCCATTTTCCCTAAACGAATCCTCCATATCCACCAACCTGGTTAAAACGCCGGACATTCGCTTTTTATCCTTTTAACTTCGTAAACAACAGTAATGCCGCGAGAAGGTAGTGAATAGGAATTCCCTGACAGTGACTGTATACGCATGTCCATGTGAAAGCATTTCGAGAAAGACAGTAAGAGAGAGAGAGAGAGACAAAGACAGAGTGCGCACTCTCTCCACCCTTCTGCCATATCAAGGCATTTGAGGACAGTTTAAAAAATGTATTACCACTAAACATATTCACTTAAATAATAAATTTCTTCTATGATTTTATTGTCACTATTCCATTTCAACTTATAATCTTACCATACAATTATATTTCTATCTTTAATTTGATCATTTTACACTTAGCAACATAAAGTTTCTTAGTATACTTCATATTGTTCTCTTAAAACGGATCATTTTAAATAAAAAGAAAAAAAAATAAATAAAAATAAACAAAATTTATTCAAATGTATGGTCCTTTTTATTAATTAAAAAAAATAACAGTAATAATTTATAATTACTATTATTAATAATAAATGATAAATATATATTGTCGGTAAAAAGAAACATCCAATTTAAAATTGTATCTAAGACCAGTAAAAGAATAAAATTAAAAAAAAAAGAATCCTAAGTAAAGCTAATTAAGTTCATTATTTGTTGTTTATGCATGATCAAAGGGAATATCTTATTGGTTATAATTTATCTTGTATTTGTTTCATTTATATGCGCAATACTTTAAATATACTAATCTGTATTATTGTTATTAGTTATTTATTATTATTATCATTATTAGTGGTAGTAATAGTGAATTTAAACTTCACCTTATTGCTCAAGTAGGTGGCTATTAGGACTCAGTAGTTAAATGGATAACATGTAGACGTTTGAAATGAACAGTATTGGATTTAAGTCACAGAGTGAACATCAACTCTGAGATGCAGGTACATTCAGTTGACGAGCCCTAAATAGAACGAAACTGGCATTCTAGATTTCACTTCTAGCCATAAAAATTCTACAACTTTAACTTACAATCTGACTTTCTGGTAAGCCTGCAGTGAATGAGAACACAAGTGGGGATAATCAAATGTATTTCATAACAAAATTATAGGATATATTACAACTATACTGGGAATCAGACAAGTGTTATTCATTAACGATATTGAGTAAATTTTCAGTATACTTCAAGTCAACTGGATATGAAAATATGCATCTGTGCATCGTTATAAATATGAGGGTTTTAAATAGGCTTTCTAGAGGAGATATGAGTATACATAACTTACAGTTTCTATATCAGGAAGAAATAGCTTTCCACTTCACTTTAAATTTCAATCTTCAGTTGATATCAACTGATGACGAAATATTACGTTTAACTTTCATCAATCACCATAAACCTACAGGATTGTTTAGTGCCAGCTTTTCAAAATATGAAAATGAGTGAAAAGATTGAATGTGGCTAAGGGCGAGATGTACGATCCGCATTTCATCCTACTTATGATCTGTTGCTTTGACCTACCTGTGTTCAAGTGTTGAAGTTCACATCGGAACTTGAACCCACTGACTTTCATGTCAAACATCCTTCTTGTTAACCACATAGTTACCAAGTTCAAATTGCCACACAAATGTGCAGTCGATATTATTTTTATCATACAATGGGTTCAAGTTATCTCATTGCATCCAGTTAACTGGCTCCAAATAGAAAGAAGATTGCATTGTGGATAACAATACTAGTTACATTTCACCTATTCTACAAAACGCATGGTTATATGGAGGTAATTCTCACATATCCGAACCAAGACTAATCAATATTTAGTCAGGAATATCAACAAAGGGATGATTCAAAACTAACATAATAATCAAACATGAGTGAAAAGAGTTTACGTCTACCGTAGAAAACCATTTCCTTCAAAATTTTAAGTAAATCTTGATGATAAAAGCTAACTAGAATGAAATTGAAGTTCAGGATTTCCTGCCTAGTACGTAAAACATCTCAAAATATGAATATATTTCATTGATTTCATCAATCTATTATAAAAGTGATGTAATGAGAATGAATTTTTTGACAGTCTATAAATATGAATAACACAGATTATTATGACAAATACGATATGATTGTTCTTACAGAATGCGGAATTATCTAAGACATTTTAATCTTGAATAAATACACAAATAATATACTAGTAATGAACTATTCAAATCTTTGAATCTTTCTTCGTTCACCTCCTCAATAAACGGTGTTTGCACATGAGAGAAATAAGTAATTATGCAACTTTTTCAAGAATATATGAATAATAAAAGCCTCATTTTTAACTATAAACTCCTTGATTCAATGTCATCATAAATTAGTACTACACTGAACATACTAGCTCATTTCATTGTAAATGAAGAATTATCAAAAATGAATTGAGACTATCAGATGATCTATCTAAATAAAATCTCATAAATTATGTTATAGAAATCAAATATAATCAAGTTTAAATAAGTAGAAATATATGTAAACCGGATCAATCCGTAGAGAACTATAATATTCGTATATAAACTATAATAATCTCTTTAAATTTCATTATATTAAATCTGATCTATATTAAGTTGAAACTGCTTAGTGTTAAACAATCATGAAAAATTCAAATTACTAAACTACTCCTCATTATCTACAATACTGTACTTAAAATACTTTTGTACTTCTTTGCCTAAATGAAGATCAATCGATTTACGATCTTATTGATGATTAAGCTTAATCATCAACATACAAAACACACTATAAAGTAACAATCACCTCTTGTAGCCTGTTGAATAAAAACATTAAAACAAACCAAGATATATGTATATATAATCTAACTAACAAATGATTTCGTTGATGTATCTTTTTATATCATCTTATAATGAAAGCTTGGAAAAAGAAAATCTAACTAGGCTATCTCTGTTTGTATGACGAATATTATATGCTGACTTTGGTTCCATTATTTATCATCGGAAGATAGTTTTGTGGGAATTTTAGTATTTTAATAATTGAATTCATGAGTCTACTAAAACTAGACCACTATGAGAATCCTGGAACCACTGTGCAGCCGTTTCGTCCCAGTATAAGACTCTTCATCAACGCTCATCCCCGATCCCGCCCAAAGGATTCTAACCTAAGACCTGTCGGTTTCGTGTGCGAACACTTAACCTCTAGGCCACTGAATCGGCACTGTTGAAGGATCCCACAATAGGACGAAACAGCCGTCCAATGCTTCCAGGTTTTTCATGGTGGTCTAGCTTCAATTGGCTTATGAATTCAACTATTAAACTATTATTTGGCATAATTATGTATTTCATTATAAAGGTTTGTTTTAATCATACTTTCTATGGATTATAAATCTATTTTATTATTGTTGCTTTCTTCGCTTTATCGATTTGTATTGAGTTAACTCTAAAATTTCGTTGGTTTTCTTTTTAATCAGGCTTTTTTTAAACAATTCTATTTTCCAAATTAGTTAGATACTGATACCCAGATCATGTTTTCATCAATGGGAGAAATGAAAATAATACCCTTTTGAATAAATTATTGATAGGTTATGTTGTTTTTCAATATTAATTTCTTTATCTTTATCAACTAATCAATTGTTAGTTTTAAATAACCCCATATTAAAAATATATTGTCAGAGATATTATATACGGATAGTCTTGTTTACCTAGTCGTCGAGTCATAAAATCAATAATTTTTGAATCCAGTCAACTCTAAGGTCAATAAAACAAGGATCATTTTAAAAAGATTGCTATAATCTAGTTAAAATTTACAAATTAGTAGCTATATACTATTAATTT